AATCTGTTATGCCAGTGTGATAGTTCGCGAAGGGAGAAAATCGATTGTTTCAATAGGAACAAAAAGATGTTTATAACTTCGGGTATATTAACTTGTTTGGCTGTATTCATTAGAACTTTTTTACAGTATTTGACGAGTGCTATCTTCCATGGATGTAGTGACATTGTTTTTATCACCCTGTATAAGCATAATTTAATTACTGTTATATATAAATACATTAATTTACTTACTTCACCATTGAACTCAGTTCTTGAATGATCTCTTGCCTGTGCTGTTGAACTCTAACCGTAGCTGCATATCGAGATGGATGACCATCCATACTAGCAACTACTGCAGCTATGCTAGGTTTCTTGTTATCTCCGGCAGGAGGATGAGTTACATCAGCTCCAAAGAATATGACGGGTTCGTCGAATACTTTTGGTCTGATACTTGGTACTAAAATATTATTAATACCACCTAATTTTACATTAATCTTCAGGCATAAATTAGATAACGTTTGCGGTGACGTTTTATTAACGTTTTTTGCCTGTACGCATTGTGTTGCCATACCCAGCAATGTATCTCCTACCCTTTTCACTTCGGCTGGAAATAAAATGTAATCGTCACTTGTAATCATCAGAAGCATATAGAATTACTGATCTTTTTCGTAACATGAAAACACTTGGATAATTACCATATACGGGAGTTTTCCCAGGCAGTATAACACATACGAGTTGCAATGATGCAAACGTCATTTTTAAATATTTGAACATGGGCTCCACTTGATCTGGTCCAGTAGCGTATTTACAGAAACATGGTTGCCCAATGATTGGCATCCCAGCATCATTACTTATTCTTTGCAACTGTCCTATGAACATTCGTAATGCGTCCTCGCGTACAGTTCTTTGTGGAGCAAAGCAAGCAATCGCCCAAACTCTGATCTCGACACCCGTGAAGAATTGCTTACCACGCATGTCCCAAACACCTTGAGCTGGTAAAGCCTGCTGTTTTGTCTTTAGCAAACAAATAAACATATATATACATATATATACATATATATACAAGAACATACATACACACATATCAACAAACATATATATATATACACATATATATGTGTGTGTGTATATGTGTATATACACTATATACGCACACATACATACAGGGTGAGTTACGTAAAGCGAAACACCTAAATGTTTCCATTAGTATTGAAAGTAGAAAAAAAAATGACAAAGAGAAAAATTATATTGTTTAAGGAGTTAAACATAATGATGTAAACAAATCTGCTGAGCGATGTTATCTTGAAGGCCTTTTAAAGGTCATCTATTATGTTTTAAACAGTACTACATATTCTTTTACACCGCAGCATAATCTATACTTCTCAGATGAATTCAATGGCATAGGATAATATGATCTTGAAATAATGTTCCGGCTGAAAATTGTGATCTGCGAGCCAAGTAGTAATACAAAATTTAGAGTTCTAGTCCATTAGGTTTTCTTTATGTCATTGAGACATATATGATTATTCACAAATTACATATAGTATTGTCTGTCACTATCTTCGAATGAATGCGTTCTTACTCTAAAACCCGAATCATAGCATTCGCTTGTTTTGAAGATGTATTTAGTGATAATATAGTTTGATACTTGAAATCGATCGGACTTCGGTCAGTAATGAGTTACCTATAAGAAGAAAAAATCGATTGGATTTCTGTCTATTATGAAAGTCATCGGTGACACTGAGTGTGGTTGTCCGTTTATATCAAGACTGGTTTCTCAATCGTAATTGTCAGTCCGATTTTACTTAGTCAAAATTAATATAAAATACATGGGACAAAAATTGTGGCATATACAACAAATTTAGTTAATGCTCTTAATGCAATAAATATGAATCCTCCCAACAGTATTAAACAGCCTGCTCGAGAAAATGGCATTAGCCAGTCAGGTATTATATGAATATTATATATGCACAGAAATTGTATCCTTATTACTTGTCCCTTCGTCGAGAGCTTCGTGAAACAGATTATGAAGAATAAGTAAATTTCTATGAGTACAGTCTAAACGAAGATTAAAACTGATAAACGACTTTTTAATAATGTGTTATGTACTGTTGGTAACAATGCCGACCCGTAATGAATGACGAGAAGTTCGTCCTATATTATTGAATTTGTTTTAAAAGCTGATATTATGTCATGAAGTCAATATTTATGTAGGACTATTTAAGAAATTATGTATAACAATTACCAGATTTTCAAAATGACATTAACCAGCAAATTTATTTACATAAACATATTTGACTTCGTAAACGCTAATAACTTTTCTGTTTGATGCTTTTTCTCTATTTTCGATACTAACGTTAATATTTAGTCGTTCTGTTTTACGTGACTCACCCTGTGTATATATGTATACACACACAGCCCACACATATACACATACACACACGTCACTAACTACCACAGTATTGTTTAAAGTTGAATAAATAAACAAGGTAGATGCACCAGTGTTTTACACAATCCATGCAATCACCGCTTCCTTATTTGTTTTATAGAAGCAACGAAAATATTTTTAATAAAACAAAATAAGTCGAATTTTTATGACAATTATGATAGTAAATGCAACTTAAGATAATTGAATAAATTTTATTACTGCATGGAATGAACTGGCATCGTCAGGGAATAGCAGGCGATATTGGACTGTGAAAGTAATGCAAATTGTATTAACCCTCGTCCAGAAAACACTGACTCCATTTGAACCTATCCCAACGAACTACACATGTTTATCAATGCAGTTTGACACTGTATAAGATGATTGTGAGAGGAATCTTATTAATATATTATGAAAATTTACCGGTACATATACGATCGTATATACTGAAAATAATGATTATATGTAGAAGTGGATATTCTTATTACGTGGGATTAGAGCAACAATATTTCAAATACTGTTTTGCATATTCAATGGTGAATGTAGAATTTTCAGATTTTTTCTAAAACTCTTTTATAAAATATACTGTTAAATTATACATTTTATTTAATTTCACCTGTTACGATCTTAAATATTTTTTATATTTTATGTTTATAAATTGTAAGTAAGAAAAAAAGGAAAAAGAATTCAATCTTCCACTTATGAGAATTATTGTTCACGTTATCTTTTACCATCATATGTTCAATATACTTATACAGAAGGTGTAATGTTAAATTTTATTTGCTATACACAAATTCAATTTTGAATAACATATTTCTGTATGTAAAAATGTATTTTATATACTGAACAATATTTTAATAAGAATTTACTGTGTTATAGAATATTATGAAAACCAATAACTAATATAATCCAGACTTAAATCTGGGTTATTAAATGTGGTTTAACTATCAGTCATGCACAATATTATTAGAGTTAAATTTTAAATGTAAATCTATTATATGTTTCAGTATAATCATTTTCACTTCACTCAAAGTGATCATGATCGTTATAATTACAAAGATATAAACTACAGACATACATTTCCAGGAATATATTGCATCTCATTTAATTTTGATTATATTATACTATAACATATTTACTATTACATCCTGTAGATGTAGTACAGAATGGCTTATGCGTGAAATATTTAAGTTATAATTAATTCCATGAGAATCAATGATTATATTTTGTTTAAAAACATATGAAAGATATATACTTGCAACTTGTAAATGTACATATTCTTTAATTCCAATATATTATTACTGCTCTTTTAAGAAAAGTAAAATACTCTGATATGACACAATTAAATACTAATATACAGAACAAGTATGTTACAGTCTAATTTCTACAAAATTAAGTAAGTTAGAAAGAGCAAATTTGTTACATGTAGGATATTCAAAATATCCTTTGTATCTCTTCTGATATTTTGAGAAGTTCACAAAGTTGCAGGATTACAAGGAAATTAATCGAAATAGTTGTGTATGTTAACCCTCAGGATACTATAATAAATCATGAATTCAAACGTAACAATTAATTATCAATTGTCAAGAAATATATATTTAAAACATATTCTACAAATATATATGATATATGTAATGCACAAAATAAAAGTTGTTTATTTACATTTTGTTGAGAAAAGTTTAGAATTTCTTCACTCATACCATGCGACTCTATCAGAATTTAATGTTCAATTATTAAAGTAAGTAAATAATTGCAATAAGAATTGGAGATTTATGAGACCTTCTGTGGAAGTTGCTCATGTTTGAACGTTTATAGCAGTTAAGAGTTAAAATATCAATTATTACAAATAAAAGAATCACATAAATGATAAAATAATAAAAAAAGAATACGTATGGATCAAACATGACTCTTCATGGAGCTCTGCAAGATTGCTGAACCGTCGAGATTGCAGGGATTAATATGTTTTAATTTCATCCACATTAAAAAATTAAAATTATTACCAAAATAACGTTGAAAAACTGCAGTGTTAAGACATGATGCAATTTTTAAGCAACATGTTACGAAAAACTTTTGTACTTTTCTCATCTTTAAAATTTGGTTACTGTTTGGTCCACTGTTTTTTACTAACATATAAAATTTCGTTCTCATTCTAATCCAGAGAAAGTATAATGAACCATCAATTGAAATAAAAAAATAATAGTACTTTATATATTTTATCCTATCTACTGCATGATAAACTGGTATATAAATTATTTCAATAATATATACATTTCTTGAAAATCAATATTAAACGACACGAATATACAATGAAATTTATATCTTTTATTCCTCTCTTAAAAGTGTTCAAAGTTGTTATATTTGCTAACAAACATACACTCACACTTAATCCATTAAAAATGAGTATGTGGTTTTGCATACAAGTAATCTAAATAACCTTCGTATTACCTACATAAATTTGTAAATAAAAGTGAAATGTTATTAAAAATTTGTCTTCACTAAATCATATAAATTCAAAAGTCAGCAGAATTTTTGTACCTTATTTCATTTTATGGATAGTAAATTATAATACATTTAACTTTACACCCTGTGTTAGTATATTTTAGGATGTGTTCAAACGAAATTATATTATGCCATCTGAGGGTTAATGAGAATTCTAATCTTTTCTTTTTTAATTTTTACTCATAGGTAACTGCCATACATTAGTTCATTTATTAATTTAACTTAAAAAAAGTAAGTTAAATGTTCATTACATTAACAGTCCAAATATCAAAATCAACCAGGTCTAGAACCCATACATTCATTTGGTAACTTTATACTTTACAGATTTCTTTGAGCGCATTTCAAATATAAAAAGTTAAGGTCAAATGTATTATTGTTTTGGGAAAGATTGCAGTATTTCCATTCTATTTTATGTTTTTAAAAATCTTATTTTTGGATAAAAAAAATGTAAGTTAATTTTTATGTTAGATTGAATCAAATATACGAAAATACAGGACTTATATTTCTTTTTAAGAAACTACATTCAAGTTTCATATTTTTCTTGTCTAAAGAAATATTTTGCAAACACTTTTCATGGTTTCAGTAAATGCATACTTATCCACTTGAGCATGGTATCATGTAGACTTCTGCTAAGGAAAGCTCCAGATATCAATCTTCAGGACAAACCATTACATGTCCATTCGTTGTATTTACTATGGAAGTAGTGTTCTCCTTATTCAAGAAATTATGTCCATCATGTAAAGAAAGAATAGCAATATTTTGTATGTCTTGACTTTTGAGTGTTTTTTCCTTTGTTCTTAATTATATTTATCTTCTTTAATTATGCTATTTTCTAAGTAGTACTGACATTGCACTAACATACATATTGATTTCTGACTGTGATATTTCAAACAACATTGTAGATTTTCAATATTTAGTATATACAATATTATAAACAATCTCTAATGACATATTGTTTTCCGTTATAGAAAAGAAAAATATGTACGGAGAGAGAATAATTTAGATATTGTTATTATATAAGCTGATGAACTATGTGTAGCAGACATTTTAACGAGAGATTCTACAAACAAAAATAAGATGAAAATTTGGAGTGCCGAAACTATGATTTCGGTTTCATTTTCAGATTTGTGTTATATTATTGTAAGGTGCGTCACTATTCAAGCAATGAAACTTTATTGAAGTTACCAAAACAACTACGCCCTCGCCGATTTGGATAATTTGTGGATATGTTGTAGAAATCAACATTTTGAACAACTTTTTCCAATACGTATAACTAGCGGCCACGCTCAGTTTTTTAGATATTTACGAAAACAGGTCGATTGTATCGCAAAGAATTTTCCGTCTGTAGTAATAAGGTAAATGTACCAATAGTTATTGGTAGTTAGCCAGTTAACGTTATGTAAATATAAATGTATAATATTCTATATAAATTGGTACATATGTTACATTAATGTTATATTTGTGTTCAGGCCTC